ACCCCCCTCCCACACACCCTCACATCTGATTTTCTTTTATTTATAGAAGCGCCCTTAAACCAAAATAGATTTCATACCATCTTCTCTCATCAATTTGTTATCATGGTTGTTCCATAAAGAATGTCATTATTACTGTCATTATCTTTTCTTCATTCAGAATGTCACATCAATGCTTCTAAACATAGCATGTCCCTAGTTTTAGTACTTAATATGCCACAAAATTCATAGAAGAGTTGAGTCATAGATTAAACCAATTCAAATTTGCAAACTGGAACCAGGTGAACCTCATCATAGATTATACTTTTTATTATTTATTTTTTTAAAAAAAGGGAACCTCTTCATAGAGGTTCATAACGCAAGAATGGAGGAACATTGAGGTAACAGTAAACATTAACAAAATCTGAGTTTGTACAAGAACTGATATTTATGCTACTACAAGCAGAACAGCAGAAGATAAGAGAAACAGAACCTGATCAATTGTCCGTATATCAGGAGAAAGGCCACCATGGACACAAAGCACCTGCAAGAAAAACAACATAGCTACCTCAAATGACCTATTATCCGAGCTATGCATGTGTGCATATAAAGATACACGTACCAGAGCCAAAAAAAAAAACACAAGCACTGGGTGTACATAGACATACAAAAGAATACTTACAGTCCCATCTATAATCGCTGAGAGTGTTAGGTAGTCAAAAACATCTGTACAATACCTCCATGCATTTGCATTCCCATACTTTCTCTGGCACTCATCATAGAAACCATATACCTAAAAGAAAAAATGACATTTTAAAAACAAAATATCAACCAAGGTACCAAAGAAAATGGCATGGTCCAATAAATAGCATAACCCACAAAATACAAGGTCATGTCTAATTCCAGTCCCATGCACTAATTCCATTTTTCAATAAGGATTTCGTCCATATAATTGGCAAAAATACTTATAACCCCAGAGAAGAAACCGACAAACATCATTTTAAAAAAACATATTTGGACCTCTTATTTCATTCATAGACAATTCTGACTCCATAACCAATTATTTTACTTCTTTCAAAGAATTAAATCTTCTTTCAGAGATTCAGACACACCTATATAACCATTTATGTGCATGTGTTTGTGATTGGGCACCACGTAAACACTTCACTGTGCAATCAACAGAAGCACAGACAGCAGAGGACCACATAAATTTTTAAAGATTAGCTGCTATGGCATGCTATATCATTGTTGAGCCATAAATGATGACATATTTTCCATTTTAACTGTAACCATAACTAAAGATTTGTTAAATATATAGAATCTCGATATAGAAGTTACATCAATTTTTTTTAAATAAACAAAAGTTACATCAATATTCTGAAATCCTAACTGACCTGAGGCTGTGCTAAGCTTAACATCTATTTCACAAATATCTCTCATGAGATAGTATTCTGGGTATCACAACCTTTGTAAGATTGACTGCAAATCATCATGAATAAAATATGACTTTGCAGAACCCTATCATATGTTAATATCATAATTCATGGAAAAAACATAATAAAGAAACCTTTTCTGGTATGCTTGAAACTGCTTATCTTCTACACTTAAAAATATTGTCCTCTATAATTGGTTCTTTAATATAAGGAAATGCAAGACAAAGTCTAAAATATTATTCATACTTTTTATCTCCAAAAAGAAAATTGTAAGATATTATGCTTCATAAGTTTTTCTGAAATCTGCAAGAACTTATTTCAGAGTGCATTCAGAATCATATAAATTGAGAGCTTCGGATGTCTAAAACTACATAAGTATAAAGACTCTACAAAAGATAACATGGATAATATATGGTCTTGTACAATTAAAGAATTTTTTTTTTTAGAAAAAAAAATCAAAACACATTCAGTTTCACCAGAAAATGAAAAATTCCTTTTAAGAATTCTTTCTTGGTTGTTATAATTTTTCAAAACAATAAATTATATTTCTGGTGCCTTTGAACCCAAGACATTTGGGTGACATAGGGTTGTCGACCTTTGAGGTGATGAGTCCAGGCATGCTGGGGTTCCATAGGTAACTCACTGTGGTTTTGTTTCAGAAAGAAAAAAAAAAAAAAAAAAAAAAAAAAACCTCACCGTGGCACCAGCTTCCTTTCTTTTTCTTCTTTTCCTTAATTATCTTTTTCTCTCTGTTAACTACGTTTCAGAATTTACTTCTAAAGCTTTTTATTTTGTTTTTTTAATATTACCCTTATAAAGCTATCAAATAATGACTAATAAAAAAAAATTCGAACTCTTGATAATAATTACTATTAAATAAGTAATAAAATATTTTAAAGCTATCAAAGTAAATACTAAAAGGGGCAGAAAAATCAAGTTCCAGAGAATGAAAGTTTCCTTAAAAATAATGCCTATTTGGTCTATCTATAAGAATTTTTATTTTTTTTGAAATAAAAGTGAGTGGTATATAAATTAAGGACGCCAAGGAGGCATAACCCATGTACAAGTAGATAATAGTTTACAGGTCTACCTATAAGATTATATTTAGTAATAACTATCACTTCAGCCCCAACATGATATCATTCTTATAAACCAGCCTTAAAAATATTTTTTGTCACAATCAAGTTTCAGAGGATCATAAATATTTCCATCAAGTCTTTTTTAACCATTTTAAAACTAATTTAGGTACTAAATTTTTGTATAAACTGAATAAATTAATTAATTCCCGTACCAAATGGAAATCCAAAAACTTGTGATTGATTTGTAAATAAGCCAACATTATGGGAATAAAATGGTACTTACTTTATAGAAGTACATTTACTTGACCAAATAATATTATGAAAATAAAAAAAGACCCATTTTTTTCTGAAAACTAATACGAATTTGGAACTTGATGGATACAGCCTTTCATGTAAATTTGTCATCCGAAAACTATTTTGTAACAAAACATGTTTTCTACCTTTTCTTTTTTCTAAAAAAGCTAGTTTTCAATCTTAGCAAGGAAATATTCCAAGTAAAAGCAGAATACACTCTAAATTCAGAAAAACTTTATACAACTAAACAGGGCCTATGATTTCTGTTTGAACATCAGATAACACTATCAAAATGAGTGCTCCATCAGTATCAGTGTTTGTAAACTAAGTAGCCACAATCAAGATAACACTGTCAGAAATCCATGCTAATATTAAGAGCATACCTGAGTTAGCTGCCTACTTTCATGATTACCGCGTAAAAGAGTAATGTTTGCTGGGTATCTACAAGACAAATGTGGAAAAGCAACTTAATCTTTACAAAGAATATAAGGTCTACTAATAAGCTCAGACACCAAGAAAAATAAGGGATTTTTATTCTTTTTTATTTTTCTAGGACAAATTACAATTTAATCCCCTGTAGCCTGACTCCACTACAATCCAAATTATGTGTTTTTTAATGACAATTCTGTCCTTATGGTTTTATTTTTTGTCATTTTAGATAAATATATTAGTTCTTAAGCTATTATCTTGTAATTTTTTTAATTTGTTTAAGCTTGAACTTCTACATCTTCATGTTTAAAAACCTAGACATGCGAAGATTTCCTCTAAAAAATTAACAAATTTATGTAAAATGACAAAAATATAAAATCAGAATGATTGCAACAAGAAAATACAAATGTGATTTGCAAGAAGGCCAAAACACTGGAATAAAACTGAATTTTTTCCTTTTTTAACAACACATAAGCGTACTTTTATTGGTATAATTTTTTTCCCAATTCTACCAATGAAAGTGGAACAATCAATTGAGTCTTCATATTTACAGGCTCATGTGATAATTAATAGAAGATCTTAAATTATTTGTCAGCCTAACACCGATCTTTCTAGAGAGAAAAAGATTGCTGCACTAAAAGAAACCAAACCGCACATATACAAAAAAAATTCACAATTCTTCCAAAGAGAAAAGAGTGATAAGATCAATAAAATAATCCCATCATACAGAGGGTGACCCTCAAACAAAATATGAAGAATTGTAAGCAAATGATCAAAGGAAGAAAAATTTTTGAAAGCTCCATTGCTTCTCTCTTCTTTGATGACCATTGAAATGGCCAGGGGATAGAGACAAATTTTCCTCCTAGATTTTTCCATGGAATTCCATTCCAAGTCCACAGTTCATAATTAACAGAACAATTAATAACCCAGTTAGAGAGAACTAGAACAGAATCCGAAAGCCTTCTAGATTCAGGACATCAGAAAAAGAAGACAACATGGAGATCAACTCTCACTTCGGCACAAAAAGCACCTGCTAACCAAAGTTTTGCCTCCCGTCATAAGATTGTCTATTATTAGAATCATTTTCTATATTGCCTCCAAAGTAAAAACCCAATTATTGGAGCTACTTCCATTTTCAAAAGTTTGTTTTAATGGGGAGCCATCCAGGAACTCATCCAGCAACACCAGGTGGTTCTAATAAGAATTTATGGAAGACAAAATTCATTTCATGAATGGTAAGAAAACTTGAATTATTGACAAGCTAGAGATTGCTTTCATTGATTAAGAACCTAAAAAAAGCAAAAGTACTTGTAAATAGGTGTCATCTCCAAGGATAGAGGGATTCCCGAAGTAACTTATCTTGCAGTGTGAATGGACATGTCTCATATAGGAAACAGCCCTTTCCTTTTTTTCTCTCTTTTTCCCTATGGCAGCAAGCAGAGTCTTCATGGCAGAAATTTTGAACATTGGAAACTGTTAAAGAAGGCAGAGAAATTAAGAGGATCTCCCCATATTCCACGAGCTACATTTTGGGTTGCATGCGGAAAAGGAAAAGAAGGCTTTTGAAGAGGTCAAATCATCTCCCAAAAGAGAATAATTCAATAGAGAAGTGGTTTCAAACTCTATGTTTATAGTTTAGTGGCTATCCTATCTCCAGAAGTGGAGAACTTGGAGAGCTTATAGATCTTTTTGTTGTCTACCTGATGCACATCAAAGTTTTTGAACTTGCAGAAAGTTTTACATATTTTTTTTTTTTTGCAAAACCAAGGAAATAATGAATTGATATGTGAATCTTGAGATGTTAACAGATGTTATCATCACTTCAAGTGATGATCAAAAACTGAAAAGAAAACAAAAATCGATGATTTTCATCCTATCGAAAACAAGGAAAAGCTACATATATAAACAACTTCCATTGATAAACTGTGATGGAAGTTTCCATCTCCTAGTAGTCAAGGCAATTTAAATACATCTGACCAATTTGTCAGCTGAAAATCTACATATAAATTGAAAACTTCCAAAAGCCACCCTACCTGATTCTTAAGTTACAGAACTGACTCCTAGAACCCACAAATAAAGGTAAATAGAAATATGAAGTAAGTAAACACACACTTAATAATGACAACAATTTTTCGACTGGCCCAAATTTAAATTGTATGAAAGTGATAAACACAAGGAACAAGGAATCTGACAGTATCTAATATTTAACAACAAACAAATCAGAAGCTTAAAATGCTAAAGGAGTCTTGAGCATCATATACAGGCGTACCTTGCTTTAAGAAGCAAAAGAATAGTGAAAACTTCAAGACTATTGTAACCACGATCAACAAAATCTCCCTACCAAGTAATTAAAAGATCAAACAGAACATAATTATTAATGACCATTATCAAATGATTGGCTACAAATTTGAGTAAACAAAATAGAGACTCTACCATAAATATGTAATTTGTCTCTGGTACATGACCTCCTGTCTGGAAAAGCTTCATTAGATCATGAAACTGGCCATGGATATCACCACAAACAGTAACCGGACTGTTGACAGGCTGGACATTAGACTCCTCAATGAGGATCTCTTTGACCTGTTACACAGAATGGCAAGAAATGAGACTCAAAAGAATGCAATTAGTTAAAATTTTGAACTTCTTTTATGAAAGATAGGGCCATTTGATAGGATACACCCTTCCTGACTAACATAAATACACTATCTAAATATGACAGGAAATGAAAAGTGTAATAAGAAATAAGTCATCATATTAAGTGTATATTTGCACGAATAGCAGCCAGAACAAAAATTCCAAGTTCAGTATAACTTTATAAATTTAGCCAAACCATCTAATTTCTTCTTGTTATATCAATATATGCTTTTGGAAATTGGCATCAAGTGCTTCAGTTGCCTCCTTAACTATAATATATATGAGGGTGATGATATTTTATAAACAAAGTAAGCATTTCCCCTTCCCTTAGATAATTTGCAGTTAGCAAAACAAATTTTTCTATAACGTACGAGCTCTAATGAAACGTTCCTAAATTAAGTAATTGAGGCTGCATTTTAACTCAAGTAGAAAGCAAAGGCAAGAAACGGAACAATTGAGGCTCTCCAAATCTAATAGTTTTATGATGTAAGGAAATTTCACAAAACATCTTCAATCAACTGAAAACCAAAGGCAGCATCCAGAATCAGAGTCAATATTATAGTTCTAATTTCACAAACAAAGGAAAAGAGAGAAAGAGAAAGAGTGTAGAGGGAGAGAGTTTTTTAGCATGGGAAAAATAAAACACGGGTAGAAGCGAAAAAGAAAATCAAAATTCCAAATCATATAGTACCAAATTGAAACAATTAGACAGAGAAAAAAAAAGATACATGGCCGTATATCTGTATTTGTTTCAGCATTATCTCAGCCCCCAAGCCGAGCACAAAAAAAAGCAACAGAACAGAAGCACAAACCCTAACTCCATCTGCATAGACGAATATGTAGACATAGCAAAGCAGAGAAATCATATAAACAACAGAAGAGAAATACATACGTATTCACAGAGAAGCTGAAGTTCATCCTCCAACAGATGTTGCCCTTCTTTCACCTTCGCTATCCATTGATCCAAATCCATCTCTTTCCGTCTCCTCTTTTGAGATTCTCTTTTAGCAACTCTCTCTCCCTCTTCGGATTCTCTCCCTTTCCCTCTGCGGGCAAAATTCCTTTCTCTTTCTCGCTCTAGGTTAAACCCCAAGAAAACGAGGAAGATTTCAATGCTCGTGTCTCTCTCTTCCCCCTCTTCTTTTTTGTTTTTGCTTTTTTAGCGTGGAAATAAATAAAACAAACAGATCTATTAGTTTTTATTTTATTTATCTTTTCTTTTCAATAACAATGAAGGTTAAAGTCTTGAGGAACAAATACACGCGCGTAATATATAGATATTGTATATGTATATATAAAGTAAGAACAGAAATTTGACACTTCCTTCTTGAATTGATGATTGTGACTTGCTAAAACCTCCCACGGCGGGCAACGACAAAAGCATCTGAATTCGAATGGAAATTTAATACATTAGTTCAAGTATTTTATTATAAGTTAGATAAAATAGGAATATAAATATTTGATGAAAATTGTATCATATTCTGAAAAATTTTATAAATGAAAATAAAAAATATTTAAAAAAATTAATATAAGTGATATTCTTCAAATAATTAAACCACGTATTATAGCAATTTAGATCCGTCTATATCATCTTGTATTAGATTGATCATTTTGTTTAAATTATTTAAATAATTATTCATGCATGATAATTATTACAAATTAGATTATAAAAATAACCATAAGTAAAATCTATTAAAATTAAATATATATATATATATATATATATATATAACATTCATTATTCTTTTTATTCTTTGTTCATTACTTGCCTCAAGCCTTTGTCAATGTTGAAGATTGTTAGAGCAATTGGAGATTACCTTAAGCCTTCTGCTTGGTATGGATGCATTGGGATGGTGTCCAAGACTGCGGATGAATGTTCTATTTTCACGTATGATATTTGTTTTTCTTGATTTACTGTTTTTTTTTGTAAATCTTTTATATACAATACAATACTATCATCACTAGTAATATAAAAAGTATAACTAAAATAGCTACCTGATATGGTATCAAAAATTTTAGTATGTCCTTAATTGACCGGATATTCTATGCATAAATTATTGGGAGAAAAACTAGCAAAAAAAAACATGAAACAACTTAGTAATCTGCTTATAAATATAAATAAAATAAAGATCAATATGATAATATAAATTTTTATATTATTAATAAAATTAATCAAATAAATAATTTAATTAGGCATATACGCCATATAACACTTATGCAGCAGTTGTAACGGCCCCGGAAATTTAAAATGAAATGTATATTAAAAATATCAAATGCGGAAACGAAGTCAAAAATTCGATTAACATCCCTTACATTAAAACCAAAAACGTGCTCACAAAATATAAAAGATCAAACTATCTAAAGGAGAAACTTGAAAGTAAAAGCTACGAATATGACTATGGAGTCTTTAGGCGTCCCCTTCGTCGTCCTCCTGCAGAACCGGCTCGGGAACAATGTCTTCCTGATCTGAAATGATTAAATAAGGAATGAGCTACACTAACCCAGTAAAAACATCACGATATCTCACCGTCACGGAGGTAAAGGTGGGTAGAAAACACAAAAAGACCAATGGAACATAATTTACAACAAATTCTTTTATCAATAATAAATCCTTCACCATCCACTTACCTCGGTGAAATCCATAAAACAGTATACGAAAGCAATAAAATTATCATCATCATGAAATCATATATGAACTGTATAACATAATACTTATCAAGCCTTTTGTAATTCAATCGTTACACAACATATTTTCCTCATTTACCAGCCCACTAGTATCCATGAGGATCCATAGGGGTCTCGCTACCCGTTAACCCTTAACACTTGAAACCATATTCCAGGGCCGTCCCCATACCCCGTCCGGTATGGGCGCCAAAACTATAAACCTCATTACCCCGTCCGGTATGAGGGTGAAACGGGCCGTCCCCATACCCCGTCTGGTATGGGAGATCACAATCCCGGTAGGGTTCCCTACGGACCCGGTCCGTCCACCATATCCCAAGATATCTAGTCAGGCTGACCACATTATACAATTACCCATTTACATAATCTTTTATTCTCTTTTCCTTCAGTCAGCATTATCAATCCACATACAAACAAGCAAAACGGTAATTTATGCCAAACAGACAACATAGAACATCAATATCCCAGTCATTCAATCCATAATCAGTAAAACAGTAAAATATGCACACGAAACTATAAAATGAAAATATCAAACCTCATGCTGCATTTAAAACTGTAAAACAGGCCAAATAACAGTTAACCGACAAACACACTAGACTCGGGCTCCATTAGCGACCTTAAGCAATTTCACACATTCGTTGATTCATGAAATACCGTTTTATCATTTATTGAACTTTAATACCGTAATAGGAAATAGGGTGAGGGGTCCTTACTCGTTTCGGGGTCCGAACACGGCTTCACAGTGCGCCTACAGGCTGTCCCTAATTGTCCATGAATTTTTTTCCGGAGAACTGAAACGCACTACTAGTACCTGCACGTGTTCCAAAAAATCCCAAATTAGGCCCAGGGCCCCTTTTTGGCCAATATCGCAATTCTGGCACGGCGGCTCTGCCGTGCTCCGGCGACGGCGCCGCCGCTTGCGGCGGCGATTCGCCTCGGTTTGGCCGTTTTCGGCCGTTTCCGGTCGAATTCGGCCACACTTGCATCGATCCTTGCGATAAAACAACCCTAGGGCCTTCGGGGGGCCAAAAAATTACGGAAAACCGAAGCTTACCGGCGGCGGTGCTCTCGGGTGCGGCGGCTCTCCGGTGAAGTTCGTGTTTTGGTGATTCGGCTCCGATCAACCTGTAGAGAAAAGAATGGTGATCACGGTGATATAAAAATTGCATTAAACGGAGGCCGGGAAGGGCCTCATCGGAAGCAAAAACCGAGAAGGGGCGCGGCGGCGCCGCTGGGTTTCGGCCGTGTTTTCCGGCCGTTTGGCCGGGATTTTGGCTCCGATTTGGCCACAGGAGAAATCAGCGTGGAAAAACGAGTCGGGGTATGAAATTTACCTCGATCGGTGGTCGAAAATCTCTCCGGTGCGGCGGCGGGTGGCGGTGGCCGGCGTCTCCGGTGTCTGGTTTGTCTTCTCCGGCGAGGGCAGGCGGCTAGGGTTTTTGTGGTATGGTGTGGGGGTTCTATTTATACCCTTTTTCCTTTTGATCTCAGCCGTCCATTTTGTTTTAATCTGGGTCGTCCGTTTTTTGATTAAATCTTGGCCGTCCGTGCGATTTCATCTGGGCCGTCCGTACGCACGCTTGATCTGGGCCGTCCGATCGCGCGTACGCGGATCGCCAACGTGGCCCGTCCCCGGTCGACGTGGTTTTGCCACGTGGCAGGTCCTGGTTGGCCGGGACTGCTGACTGGGTCTGCTGACGTGGCCCTTTTTTTTTTTCCCACCCTTTCCGGGCGCTACAGCAGTAATAGTTATACAACTACAAATATGTAAAAGAAATTTTGTCTTTTTTCTATGCATGGATGCATTGGGATGACATCCAAGATTGCATGTAAAAGTTTTATTTTCCACGAATGATGTTTGTGGTATCTAATTTTGCTATTATTGGCGGTAGATCGTTTATATACAATATAATACTATCATCATTAGTGGTACAAATATTAAAACTAAAAGAGTTACCTAATATAGTGCTAGAGGTTCTATTATGTTTCTAATTAGTCACACATTTTGTGTAGAAGTTGTCAGAAGAAAAAATAGTAAAAGAAAAATAACATAGAACGACCTAATAATTTGTATGTAAATATAAATGAAACAAATATATATACGATAACACGAGTTTTTATATTATTAAAAAATTTAAATAAATAAATATAACAGTTAGATATAATTTACTAAGTGACATATGCAACAGTAATAATTAATATAATTATAAAAATATATAAGAAATTGTGCCCTTCTGCTAGGTATGGATGTGCTGGGATGGCAAACAATACTACATGTGAAAGTTCTATTTCTAAATATGATGTTTGTGGCTCTAATTTTGTTGTTCTTGAAAGCATTAGTGATATAATATTATAATCAAAATAGCTACATGATATGGTGTTAAAAGTTATTCTATGTCCTTAATTATTAGACATTCAGTGCATAAGTTGTCATGAGAAAAAATAGTAAGAGAAAAATAACATGTCACGATTTGATAGTCTATATACAAATATATAAGACAAAAATAAATATGATAATACAAATTTTTATTTTTATCAACAAATTTGATCAAATATATAATGTAGTTAGGTATAATCAACTA